CCCTTCTGTAAAAACCAACTATTTTGACGTTCCAGCTCCTTTTACTGATTTATTTATTTTTTATTTTTTACAAGCATCATCCATTGCAGCATGTTTTATGATGTGGTCTGTGAAGTCCTTTAACAGATTTCTGGTCTGACTCATGGTGGAGAACAGAAGAAATTGATTTTATGGACAGGTGGGCTTCATACACAACAAGCTGGAATGAGGAGCGTTTGATCAAACACTTGTTCACTCAATGACATTTAAACCTATTTGTAACATTCAAATTACGTGTTTTATTTCCTATGGTTGATGGCCTGTTTTTTTCTTCCATTAAATCAAAAAATCATAAAATAAAGTTGTTTATATCTTTGAGGAAATTCAGAATCAGCAGGAAATCAAATATTTCCTCTACTGTGATGTCTCTGAAAAGTAGTTTCATCAACTCATTTCACTGTCTGATTTTACTTGTTGATGAAACTGTCAAAAACATTTGTATGCATGTCATTTTAAATGCTACCTAGTTTTTGTGCCGCAGTCTATCAAAACATAGATTTCTGCTTACTTTAAAGCTCCTGTCACACTATAACCTTTTAGACAACTTATGAAAATGTTCTATTTTACTCCTATCAGCTTTATATTTAATCTAATTGTTAGCATTGCAGTATTTATAGGTCCAAAAGAGGCGTCCAGTAGATGAAACGCTTAGACATCTTTAGTGTTGGACAAACTTTTCATAAGTTGTCTAAAACCTTAAGTGACAGGGTTTTTAATTTTAAAATGGTGATATTTTATATTTTATTATGAAGAAACTTGTAAAAACCTTCATGTCTGTGTGGCTCAATCAAGACCTTCTTCCCGCCTCCAAAGCCTCTGCCACCCCCTCTTCCTCCTCTCCCTCTGGGGGTGCCTCTGCCACCTCGTCCCCGAAATCCTCCTCCGTCTGGGGATCTGAACCCTCCACCTGACAAACGGGGAGAAAAAGACAATATTTTAAAGGTGCTGAAAGTAAAACCACACAAACAGGTATCAATGACATACATGTTTTTGCATCGATTGTCTGCACTTTTATAATAAAAAGGCAAAAAAAAAGTAATCAATAATTACATTACACTAAATATGTGAGCCATCATATCGAAAGGAGGATTAAGTCAAATTTGGTCAAAATGACCTAATTACATTTTCAGATTATTGGCTTTAAAAGCTACATTTTGACACCTGGATCATTCTGATATAATTAAATCCATATATATAACTTAATTTGTCTTGTTGGTTACAATAATACATAAATATTTGGTCTGAATCCTAATTTTATGTCCTTTTAATGAGGAATTTTTGATGTCCTTTTAAAGAGGAAACCTCAAATTATATTTGAATATTGAGATTTCCCAGCTAAAAAGAAACAAAACTTTGCTAGCTCACAGGGAAAATCTCAAAACTTTAAGACGTTTTTCCTCAAAATCAGGTTTTTTGTTGCTACTGCTAAAAAAAATGCTTCAAAATTTTGTTTTATGATTATATCAGACAGTTCATTCAAATGATACATTAATAAGGCTTTTATTCATTATATTTTGACAAAATGCAATTTTTGTTAACATTTTAGTCAAAACACTATATTTGCCTTTTTCTCCATACACCACTTTTAGACTTAATCCTCGTTTCGATGTGACGGGTCACATATAAATACTCTCAGTGAGATATCTTGACTGTTTCAGGGGCTGCGAGTGGAACTGTCTTGTTCTTATTTTTCATCAGACTGCAGAAGAAGCACTCGCTGCATATTAAAGGCTCAGGGATTAAAGCAGAAAAAACATTTTGACAAAAATTACAGCATCACCACCACTCAATACCACACATTCAAAAACTTTCCTGCATACAGGTTTAAGTTTTTTTTAGTTGTTTCCCTGCTTTTTCAGCAGGTCTTCAGATTCTTCAGAAGCCTGTTAATCACTCATTCATACAAACCAGGGGTGTCACAGCAGAAAAACATTAAAACATGCCAGATAGTGGGCCTCAAGGACCAGGTTTGGGAACCACTGGTGTACAAGACCTTAGTGGACAGTTTAGCGTTCACTAACTAGGGGTGTCCCAATCCAATATTAATATCAGATATCGGTCTGATATCAGCCAAAGAACGAGTATCGGATTTTATCGGCCTGCATAAAAAATGTCCGATATAAGCAGTCCGTTCCAGCAGTTCACTGCCCCGCTCCAGTGTTTCTATCCAGCAGCGCTTGGCTGCGGCATGCAGAGCCCACTCGATCACAACAACATGCTGCACTCAGTGCGCTAACAAAGTAGCTAGCAGTAGGAGCGATGTCGGCAGAACTTTCTATTTTAATCAAAAACAGAGTTGAAGCTAAGTGCAAAGTTGTCATGCACAAGTTTTCCGTGGGGGCACAGAACCGTGAACGTTTTAAACTGGAGTGACAACTACTCTCCACCCTGGCAGCAGCTTTGCGGTTCGGCTCGGTCCAAAAGTGTCTCCATGATTCCAACCGAGCAGAACCTCCTCTCACTCCGGTGGTTCTAGCGGGCAGAAGCGAGGACAGCACACTTTTTACAGTTTTGACATCAACATAAAGTTTCCCGTGGATTAGCTCTTGTTGGACAGAAGAAAGGAAGAGCGCAGCTTTTGTTTTGGAATACGAGCGACACGACGAGAGCAGTGATAAAAACTGCTCCCTGCAGGAGAGAGAGGCTAATCTCCACATGATGCTCAGACTGTAGAAAGTGGAAATGCAGCAGCAAGAAAGGTAGCTATCAATTTAATTAACTAATTGTTACTATTTATTTTTTGCTCTTGTTATTAGAGTGAAGTTTAATCTGTTTACACTTGTTTTAGTGAAGATTAAGTGCAACGATCACGTTGTTTTGGTTACAGTCAGTAAAATTATACCTGTGGACTCTTAACTTTGAACAGACAATAATGTGGGGTTTTGTTTTGTCCCCACCTTCAGTTTTTTCCACCATAAAGCAGCACAAGGCTGACAGATGGTAAAACAATAACTGGAGTGATTTTGAATTATTTTACACTTTAAAAGTACATTTTGTTTTAATTATGTTATTTTTTCAGGGTATTGTAATTTATTTTATTTATTAAATTGTATAATGTTCTTCAGTTTAAAATGTATGTGATCCATTGGTTAAAAATAAATGGGTCAGTTTTTCTCATACCTACTCTTTTCACTGTTTGACTYGATCAAGACTTTTCTAAGATTTTACACTACAAAATAGGTAAAACTGTGTGATTCGTACTGATACAGCATCGGTCAATATCGGTATCGGCCAATTCGCAAAGTTGCAATATCGGTATCGTATTGGAAGTGAAAAATGTATCGGGACAACCCTCTCACCAACAAAGTGTTGAAAATATAAGAAGACTTTAATCTGAAACATTTACATTCTTAAGACTGAGGTCATTCTGAAGGAAGAGAGAAATTTAAACAGCTTAGTTTGACTGAGGGAGTGTTTGATACATTATATAACAAAAAACACCTTTTCCTCTCCTTTTATTTTCATAGATGACAGAAATCTGATGCTGTGGTCAGACAAACTTATATCCATGACTTCACTTGGTTGTCCACCGGATCTGGTTGTTCAAAACAAAACTATGTTGTCTCAGAGACCCTAAAAGATCTTACCCCTAAAAGAGAGTATTTAAGGTTCACTCATGTACCAGTTAGTATTTTTCTCGTGTTACAATGCAACTCATCCAGTCTGCAGGGACAGAAACAGTCCGACTCAGAGAGCCTATTAGGCAGCCAGCCGTGCAGCTGTGCTTTACACAGCAGTCTGGTCCATCTGCTGCTGCAGGAACAAAAAGGCACACAGACAGAGTGGTGCACAGGTTTATTGTAGTGACACGTTTAGTAGCAAGAATGAGTGACTGAAATATCCAGAATATAGCTAATATTTCAGGCTGTCGAAAAACAAAACGAATGTATGGTTGAATATTTTATGAAGAGGAGAAAAAAACAGGGCAGCTGTGACCTCCTCCTCCTTTGAGCCAAGTGCACAGTGGGAAAAAAAAACATTGTGGAGGAAGAAAAAGTTTAGACAGCACTGTTGCTTTGATGGTGAGGTCAGGTGATTTATAGGTTTCCTCTGATCAGAACGCTACACAAGCTCTCAGCTGCTGTGTGTTTGTTAATGTGGCAGAAGCAGATTTGATCTGAGAGTTAATACAAATATTCAGGATGAGCAGAACTGAACCATATCGGTTAGGTTAGGGGAAATTTGTGTGGGATAATGTCGGCCCGTGAAAGGATGACAAATGCAAGTCATGTGCACTTTAAACAAAAACACACAAGTGTTGCTATAAAATAATAATTTTGATTTTGTGCTCTGGTTAGAATTAACACAATTCCCTTCGCCTTTATCTCATTACAATGAATTATATGACTGTTAATTTAAGTGAAAACTTGCACAAATGTGACCTTTAAATACAACACCACGTTGATCAGGCAGCTGCAAAGAATTTGGGTCTTTTTAAATTTTACCGCCAGCGCACCAAACTGATAAGGATGCATCAGGGCAACCAGCAGGTCGTCCATCTGGTGTACTGCATCATCCTCACCTCTTCCTCCTCGTCCTCCACGATCACCGAATCCTCCTCGCCCCCCACGATCTCCGAACCCTCCTCTGAATCCGCCTCGTCCTCCACCTCTTCCTCCTCTGTCTCCACGAGGACTGAAACCTGAAACAGAGCGGCTGCGTCAGGATATATAGACAACTGCAATAAATATTTTTATTTTACAGGTTTTTATTTTACTTTAGGCAGAAAGTTCATGTTCCCCAAACAGAAATGGTAGAATGAAATAAATACATACAGTGCGTTAAACAAAATCACGAGAAGTCAACTTTCTTCAGAGTAATGCTGATTAAATACATTTATGAAATGACTAAATGAATGTCCTGGTGCATCTCAGTAATCCAGGTAAAAAAAATCAAAAAGAAAAAAAATTGTATAGGTCCTCTGGACGGGTTCTTCTTTAATGAAAC